ACTAGGGCATTAGGATCCACTCAGACTGCAGGGTGAGCGCCCCCTGCTGGTCCCACTCACACCTCTTCCAGCAGCAACCTTCGTGTCCCAGGAGGTCTCCCATCCAGGTACTGACCAGGCTCACACCTGCTGAGCTTCAGTGGGCTGCCAGTTGTGAGTTGCAGAGTGATATGGCAAGTTAACCTGAACAGCATGTCTTTGGACTGTTGTAGGAAACCAAAGTCCATGAAGAATACCCACATGAATCCTGGGAGAAACATATAAACCCCACATCACATAGAAGAGCTCTCAAGGCCTGAAGTGAACCCAGCACAGAAGAGCTGCTAGAGCTGCCATTATACAGGATGACACGCTAGTTGTGAAGGATAGACTGCTGTGTGTTTGTTGTAGATGCTTCAGGAGGCGCAGGTTCAAGTCCCCCACCTGGCCTTCTAACAACTCAGTATTTCTCTCTTCTGTATTTGTTAAACATAAGCCAGAGGATACAAATATAAACTACGTAGATGTATATTTAAAACTAAGTACTGCTAAGATGCACTAAACTAAGATGCTTTTCTTTTCTCAAAGCATGATGGGAATATGTAACAAGCTACGTGGCCATGTTGTTGAGGCTAATACACTGACTTCTTAAAAAAATAGTTGAATTAGATCCTTATAATCAATTGGCTATTGAGAACCCAATGGATTAGATGGACAGAATGGTCTCCATTTGAAACTGTTCTTAGTGATTGAAAGTACAAGAAAACATTTAACATTTGTGAGTAAAGCAAATGACTTCTGGTGTTTAAGGAGTATCAGAGTACTGATTTGACGTTTTAAACTATTACAGTTTTACAATCCAATGTAGTGGCCAGATAATTAAAAATCATCCAGTATAATGAATGTAATCCTAAATCCACACATTAAAATAATCTTGTGCTAAACAGGTCATTAGTATCAATCTTAGGTATAATACATTTGCCTAGACTTTCCTAGTTTCCAGCAAGTATGCAATAGATATGTTGTCAGTTGGCCTCATTAAGTCAAAGACCTAAAGTTTACAGGAGCTACAGGATAAAAAAAATCACAGATTCTGTCATTGATTGGGAAATACTGTAGTTCCTTAAATGCTCACAGAATTAATAATATCTTGCTCACTTCTGAAGAAGATGGGGCTAGAGAATAATCACAGCAACATAATTTTTATGGGCAATGTGAAATAGCCCACATGCATAACTGAATACTTAGTGAATTTGTATTATAGGGATAGCAGTTAAATCTTTTATAATTTTATTATGGTATGAAACTTTAGATTTTGCACAATCTAATTACGTTATTGAAATAGGCCTCAGGAAATTTTTGCACATTAATTGAATTATCAGAGGTCAGATTAAATCATTATTTTATTGACATCTGATGGAATCATTATTTTATTGACATCTGAAGGAATGTGATAAATCTCACAATTTAATGATCTATACATTCTTTTCAGAGTCTGTTCTTTTGCGATGTATTTCCTTGGCAGTTGAGAAGGAACTAATGCAATTATTATATTGCATGTGCAGGTCTGTTTCAGGTTGTTTTTTGTTCTATGTGATACACTATAGACTTTGCTTTATTTTTAGTTTTGGAGCTAAACCTGCTAGAATTAAGTCTTGAAATGATCTCAGTTGAGTGGCAGTCTGAAGTGTGGTGAGGGTAACAAGGATGATAGCTACACTCTTTTTCAATGGGAACTCCATGAGGCATTAATATGCAAGCAGCATATACAACAGTACTTTCCCTCGAAGGAAAAAAAAATTGAAATGGAAGAGGAGTAATTTCCCATGGAGAAGCTAGAAGCCTTTGTTAAAAGTCAAACTGCAGGACTTGGGAAAAGGTCAGCCTCTGAAAAAGACAAGTTAATAGCTGTCTGTTTAGGAACAGGACAGAGGATGAGAATATAGGTTGATTGTAATGTTTCTGACAGAATGAATAGGCTTTAGAGAGAAGGAATGAGAATGAAGGTAGCACAGCAGTTTTACTGGGGCTCAGTTGGGCTCTATGGCAGCCTGGTGCATGAGACAGGAGATGTGTTCTAGTCCTAGAATAGTAGTCTAATTTAACACTTGACAAATAGCCAAAAGGGAAAAAAAAGTACAAAATGTTTTTTCCCATTTTTTTAGTAGGCGGCAACTTATGCTATTTCTTTTTTTGTCTCTCAGATCCAGAATTAACACAGCTTAGAGTTTAGTTAACAAAATTGGTAAAAAAGACCTTTCACCTGCAGCTCAAGAATAACCCAAAATCATAGAGACTAGAATGATGATATACGCTCTTGAACAATAAAAAAACGCTGAAACGTTGTGTTCCAGGCATTTTTATTGAAATTGCAGAAGCAAAAGTGTGAACGCAAAAGGCACTTACTGATATATATATATATGTATATATTGCCTTGAAGTTCCTGAGTTTTTCCCATGTAATGAACAAATGCATTTAATGAGGAAGTCAAAGCTCATTGCGGTACACTTTACCCTCTAGCCTATGGAGATTAGGGAATTAGTCAAGAAACACCAGGGGTATCCATAGAGACAATCTCATATTTCTGATGTGAGCTAGGAAATTAAATAGACAGATTGTTTCTGGCATTTAGCCTGCGTGCTAAATTACTGCAAGATGAATAGGGACTTCCACATAACTATATTCAAGAAACACAGTCCAGATTGCAGGTTCTGCCTGTATTTTTCAGATCAGATTCAGATTGCTGTGTTCTCTGCAGGTTGGGATCTGTTGCTGTGTGTTTCCATGTTAATGTAAGTGAAGTGGGTAGGCCTAAGGGGGTGATGGAGTTGGATGTTTGATTCTGATATTTGTATATTTAGAGAAGCAAACCCATTTCAATCATTAGGATTTTGTTTGAAAAAATGGCAAAATCCGTCATTGGATTTCCTTTGCAGCAGATGGATTTTCAGTTAATGCTGGTTACAAAGTTTAAGCTGAACAGTCAGGTATTGAGCCTGGCACACCTGAGTGAGTAGCAACAGGGCACTTCACTCGGCTTCCTGTTTTAGTGGATGGTAGACAGCCACACTAATAAATCCCAGCCCAAGTGTCAGCTTCCTTTCCTATGGAAAAAAGGCCACCTGTACTTGCTCTGTAATAAGAAAAAAAGTCTGCCTCTTAAGAATATGAAACTGACATCAACAGAAGATGAGGAACATATTGTATTATTAGATAGCTTTGTAATGAAAGAGAAGAAAGCTGGTAAATGTGAAAGTTTAAGGAAAGAAGGGGGAGGGAAGCTTGCCTGGAATTAGGAGTTTCCAAGTCATGATTTAATGGGTATTTCAGGATGTCCAAAAATATCTCAGGGGTACAGTATTATTTGAATTTGCTTCAAGAAAACCTGAGAGTGTATGTCATAGCGAGGTTCACTGCTGTTGATCAAGAGATCTGGCATCTGCCAAGTGGGTCTTCAAAAATGTATGTGGGAGAAATGCTCTTCTCTGCAACTTTAGGGTGAGGTGACACTCTTGCACGTCGGTGTTCATGAAAGATGCTGCAAGGTAAAGTGATATCTCACAGTGTAACACTGTGTTTTCGGGGCCTTATACGATATGCTTAATGTGAAAAATGCACAGAGCTGCCTGTGAATGAGATAGAAAAATTTTACACAAGTTTGTATACACTGTTCTGCATCTTTTAAAGACAGTAAAGGTGAGTACTTGTCATTCAAAGCTTAGCTCAGCACCCTCAGATGGAGGATATTTGGAATAATCAAATCTGAGCCATCGACTAGGTCAAAAGGAAACATCAGAAAATCACTGAAGAACTAGAGACATACCAGTGATGTGTAACTGCTACTGTATGGACACTTTTGAATGAGAGGTCTGATCTTTCACATTAAAAAGAGCTTTTACAGTCGGAGCAGAGGAAGCCAGAGAGGACAAATCAATATGAGGGTAATGTGATCCAGTGCTCTGAGTTTCGGCCCCCAGACTGAAGTGCTATTTGCAGACTACAGTGGAGGAAGGAGAAAGGAGAGAGGAGCCCTGGTAATGATAAGCTTGTGGCCTTTTATTTCATGACCTAGTGGAAAGCAGACAAGTCATTTAAATGTTTTTATGGCCTAATATATTTAGGTTATTGCTCAAGGATTGCCCGATTGGGCTATTGACTTAGATCTGTTGTGTACATATATTTAAGGGGTGGACAAGTGTGGATAGTTCTCTATGACTATAAAATCAAAATTTAAAAGAGAAGTAAAATGAACCTTGCCTTTTGGCCTTTTGGTCAGAATTTAATGTCACTTTAGATTAATGGCCTGTTGAAACACGTTGTGAACACTAAGAAGAGGAGAGTGTAGGGTAGTTGGTATCAAATTGAAGAACAAGCGCATTTCCCATCGGCCTTTATCAATCATGGCCTCCTAACAATCCCCCTCTATAAATTGGATTCATTACTCTGCTCTCCTCCCCACTGATCGCTGATGTGTGTTGAGCGTTCTGGCGCACTATGGCTGCCGTCGCATCATCCAGGTGGGGCTGCACATCCAGGTGGATGCTGCACATTCGTGGTGGTGGAGGGGAGTCCCCATTACCTGTAAAGCGCTTTGAGTGGAGTGTCCAGAAAAGTGCTATGTAAGTGTAAGAAATTTTTATTATTATTATCTTTCACTGATGTCACTTCTAACATCTTGGTGCATCGCTGTGTAGGCAAGCCATGGAGGTCACTGTTATACCAAAAGTGAAAGAACACACACTGTCGTCACCTGTGCTCTGAGAGAACTCAAGAGTTTAGTGTTGATGTTTAATGTTGATTTTCTCACAGTTCACCTTTCTCTGCACTCTTGTGTGTTCTGCACAGTATCCTGATAGTTTTTCCACAGTGCTGTAAAACAGGGAGCTGTAAGAAGCATTTTAATTGAAATTTTGATGAACCAGTGAGGAGACTTGCCTGAAGCTGGATTAATCAGAGGGCCCTTCAATTTTTTACAATACCGTAATAAAGTGCACATAAGTAGTAAATTCATGGTAAAAAAACATTGTGTTTATTATGTTTTTGCAATCTCCAAAACCTCTTTAAGTTGCTTTAAGCGTGAGACTTAATTTTTGGAAGAATCTGAACAAAAGAGCAATATAACATAGAAAAACAATCCCATATTATTCCATCCTTTCTGCTGCTCTCCATCCTTGGACAGTCCCTTCCATGTCCCTGTCGTCGGATAGCTCCTGCTGATTCCACAGGAAGGGAATGTGGAGACCTCCAGAGCTGAGCGACCTTCCTCTTAGCGGCAGTGATGACAGCCAGTCAGCCAAATTCTGCTAACAGGCAAAACAAGCGATGAGTCATCTTTCAATAAAAGAAACACTGGAGAACACGGGCAGTTTTTCCCGCGAATTGTACATAAAAATGAGGAGACCTGCCCCCCAAAACATGGGCACATCCAGACACCTTGTGACAAATAGGTGTCTGTTGCTTCCTGAGAGCTGTCAGCTGTCATTTGGAAACATCTCAGAGTAGTGAAGTATGTTCTGTGATGGCAAAGATAAAAACAATCAACTGCTGATCAGGAGTTTTACCAACAACTGTTTCCAATAGTCTCCCTAGAAATCTAATCTTGGGGAGATACAGAGGTACTGTACTGTATGTCCCTGTTCCATTGGCTTATATGAGGATCTCAATAGGTGAATTTAGAGCAAAGAAATGGGTTTTCTGACCAGTTTTATTTCTTGCCCTAAGAAACATGTCTGTCATATATATTTTAAATATAGTCTTCTGCATGTTGCTCTCCCTGGTTTTTGTGAAGCTACTAAATGTTTGAATTAAATCTTGCTCTGTTGTGTTATCAGACTTCACCCACTGACAAAACAGGTGTGTTTTCCTGTAGCTGCTCTTGACTGTGAAGGTCAGCAACACTTGAATCCATCAAAGGAAAAGCATGACTATAAAAATATTTGCTTTGGTCAGACAGGTAAATGTAGATAAAATAATGGCAGCGGTTTTTCTAAGTCAAGATAAGAGAGACTAATGTCCACAGAATATACACTAGCAGTCCATGACAACAACCAACTTGTTTACCAGAATCAAGCAGTGACAGCTGTTCAGGTTAACTGTCTTCAAATTAGTCAGCACTGAGCTGCATATGTATTTCTGCACGCATGGATATATTAATCAGAGCTCTTAACAGTTGTGGAATAAATCAAAGGGAAATAATATGCAAGGCTGATAAGAGCAAACGTTGGCAGCAGCAATTGATTTTAGAAGTGTAAATACTGTATTCCCAGTGGGGGTTTTCTAATCTCAGACATGAAGAAGAGACAGATCTAGATTCTAGAAGTGTCAGTACTGAGTTTTTACTGCTTTCATAAATGTTTGTCAAGGTGTTTATTCAATTTGTTTGTGAAAAAAATAGGATCATGAGGTTCTTATAAAACTGCAGTGTGACCTGCAAAAAGAGGGGGATTTTTTGTTTGGAAGGTTTTATCAACATCAATAGTGTTGAATAATTGAGTAATGAATCAAGTTGCTCATTGACATACAGCATATAAAGCCTAAATTTCATAATACCATATACAGTAGCTACACAGTTTGCTTAATAATTACAAAGAACATAAAAGCTTACAGTGGAATAACCTGAGTATGGTATATGCTGTATGCAGCTGGATACTATATTTGAACCACAGTCTAAAACACACCTCTGACTGCCAAAATGAGCCTAATAATCCAACATACCACAAAACCTGCCCTTTGAAGTGTCAGATCTTTTACACTGCTTAGATCCTGGGAGAGTAACATTAACATCAGATTTGGCTGTGCAACACACAGTATAACCTCCTCGACCTCATTTTGAAAATCCTTCCATTTAAGGAATTTATCTTTCTACACGAAACATTGGAACAGCACACATATGTTTCGTGAGCAAGCGGCCAGCGCTTTTCATTTTTTGAAAGCGGAGCCCCTCGTGATACAGCCCCGGTGGAGTCCTCTCGGCTGTTCCATGACCAGCAGGACCCCGCTTCCCTTCTTCTGTGAGCGAGGATGCAGTCATGTGGCTGTGAGGGCCTGCCATTCCCTCGCGGCTATGAGATTGCTAGCTGTGCTCTGATGCGTGCCCTCAGAGTTCAGAATAGTGCACAGGAGCTAAGAAGATGTGACTATGAATAGGACAGCCTCCTTAACCATCAGTAATGGTGCTGATCCAAAGGGCACTGTTGATGTTTTATTTTCCTATGAAAGTATAAGCTGCATTTTTCTAGTACTTTACCTGTTTTCCAGAGAGTAAGAAAGGGAGTAGTGTAATGTCAGTGCTGATTAATCATGAATGGCAGCACAGAGAATTTGTCAAGGACATGTGTTGGTCTTTGGATTCATTTTTACTGGTGCTGGTGTGACGAGAGCAGCTTTGCCCCCCTTCAGGATTTGATCATTGCTTACTTGGCACTTGAGAGCTGCACAGCGCCTCTTGCCAGACTGCTGTGAATTCTGCCACGCTACAAGATGGGATCTTACTCACTGACAGTAGAGAAGTCAGTGCTTTTCTGGGTTCCACGTGGGTGTTGGAATCTTCTGTAGCAGGCTCAGACCTGGTGAGCCAAAAAATGTTATCATACTGTCCCTTTGTCTCAATAATGGGCAAAAGGATATCCTAATTTAAACTAATAATTTAGATTGGGGGGTATTCTGGGGGAAAATTATAGTACTCGAGTAGGGTTTTCACTCCTTGTAAATGTTGGTGGCTATTAACAGTTTTTACAATGGCAGATGCTTAAATGGCTGAAATCTTGTAGACTTGAAAGATTTGGAGTAGAAAGGAAGCAGCTTTTTAAACGTTAAGCACCTTACACAGGTTTGGTGTTAAGTAACAGTGCAGGAAGAAAAAGGGTCAACATACTTAAGAACCTGCTGAAGTGGCAATAGACCTACTTTTTTTGTTACGTAGAGGTTGAAGCTATTAAGGACATTGTGTTGAGTTGCTTCTTAAGCCAGGTAACAGAGTAAACATCCTGCGGATTCCAAATCCATGTTGAAGGTGACCTCAGGCTGAATGTCTGAGAATTAACAAGGCAAATAAATGAAAGGAAGAATGACACAAGCAGCTGAATGTATTTCACACAAAGAAGATACCAGTGACATCTAAATGTTCCTTTTTATGGCTCATCTGATGCACAGCAGTGTTATATGAATAGTACAGTAGACCTGTCAAACTTTGAAAACCATCAAACCATTGCCTTGTATTAATCAGCAGTATTATGCTGCGTGATAGAGAGTGTGTTGTATTTCAGTGGTGTTTGAGTAGCCATTCATTTTCAGCCCTAGCTGTGTTTGTGAAGGTGACAGTCATACAAGATGAAGTGGTCTGTATTTAAATATGGGTTATTAAGAGAGAAACACCATTATGTAAAGCCACTCAGTTTTTTCTTTCTTACATTGTTCTGCATAGCATTTGGTTAGGTACATTGAAGGAGCTTTTTAACTGCTGTTCCTATTAAGTCTATTAAGTCAGAACACGTGCAGTTCTCTATTATCTATACATTTTCCTCTGACACTGTCCTTCCTTTCAGCAAGCAGTGTCTGTTCTGGTAGAATGAGCATTATCTCCTTTGCAATTGATTATTCCTTAATTAATATCTGTGAATTACTAATGTTCTTCTCTGCACTCCATTTTCTCTCCTCCTTGTGTTTGAAAACCACATCAGAAGCTTCATCTTTCTGGGACAAATTGAAAACATTTAGGGGAAACAAACCTCTCGAGGTAAACATTGGTGAAAAAATTAAATTCCATTCTGTTCACCTTTGTCTCTTCACTGAGTTGGTTGAGTTTGGTTTTACAAGTCTATTCCTTCCAAGTCAGGTTTCATTTAACCTGTGCAAACCAGCTACACCAAAGATGTGTTAAGATTTCTGGTTTTGGTCAATATGGTCTTGTGTTATTACATGAAGACCACATTATGGCAGTGTCCTGTGGGGCACATGGAGATGAATCCTACCTAAACATTCTACAGCAATACTCCCTCTTAATTCTAAGACTAAATCTTGTGCTTTGAAGTCTTTACTCATTATTGTTACAGGGATCTCGGATAGACAGTGACCACTAGATTTCACGTTATATGCATTGACTTTATTAAAATAAGTCTTGGTATAACTTGCGTTCACCTGTCATTGCTAGGTTGAAGTTGAGTGATTGGATTAGTCTCCTTTGATCCATATTTACTGAAAACACTTTAGAAATGCAAGAATGCTTTCTGTTGACTACTCATTAACTAATAAATAAGGGTTTGAGCATCACTATAATGAAATGTTGTATGGAAAATGATAGAGCTCATCCATCTACCCTTAGTCAACTCGATAAGCATTGATTACTGATATAGTGTGGCCTTGAGTGATTCAGACTTGTTCTGCTGTTTCTGTAAGGGCCCATAAAGATCAGCAGATTTGTGCTGACCAATTGCGAGATTTCTTTTTCATAACGCAGATACACAAACAATGATTCAGTCATTAGATGGTACAAAGCTGCCAGGATTAGATGCAGGCACCCTCCCTCTGGTCCCATCTATGTTTCAACATCACTGCAGGCTGCACATCTACAATTTACGCATCCTCTTGGTGATGTTTTCTGGTGTATGTTAGGTCCTGTGTTGCATTTGGTAATGGTATAGTATGCATTTAAGGACAAAACTGCAAAATGTTTACTGTGGTCCCTGTAAGAGGAGGACTTATTTGCACACAGTATGCATTTATGGCAGAAACCACAGAATGTTAGCTAGCTCTGCTGTCTGTAAGAGAAAGACTGTTTTGTGGTCAATGCACGCAAAGTATGCGTTCAGGGGAGAAACCACAAAATGTTCGCTGTGGTCTTTGTAAGTGAAAGATATTGTTTTGTGGTTATTGCATGCAGAGCATGCGTTTAGGGCAGAAACTACAGATTGTTCAATGTAGTCTCTGTATAAGAAATGCATCTTTTGCGGGGTCTCTGTGCAACACAACTTGCATTCCTGTTTTTAAGCTAACATTCCCCAGTGGGTGCTCAGAAATCACTGTGACCAATACAACGTGTGACTTTCTTGTTATAAGTCTGCTCTCAGAAATCTGATGTATTGTGTCTTAGTGTTTAATTTTTAATTCAGTGTATGAGTTTTGTTAAGAAGTCTGACGCATGTGGTCTCATAACCTGAATAAGTGTTTCAATTTTTTCCTCAGCTCTTAGTCATACATTTTAGCATTTTATGCCTGGGATGTTTTGCCATTTCTGTGAAACATTTCCGAAGCTTCGGTTTTACTGAAGAAACTCCACTGAGTGTGGGCTCAAATAACATCACACAACAAATTTCAGAGCCTACCTTTGTAGTCTTTTTTTTTCTTCCTTTGTGAGTTTTCAGTAGATTGTTTTTCAGAACTTGGCCAGGTCTTCAATTTCTCAAGTTCAATTTCCAGTTTGCCCTGTTTTAGAATTCAGTGTGAATTTTAATTTGCACAGCTATTCTAACACTTCCAAACGAGTTTGGCAGGATTTTATTTTTAGCACAACCTTTTTGCAATATATTCATATATTTTTGTAAGTCTGTCATTGAGCTTAAAATAAAACTGAAAAGAGAAATATCATCCAACTTTAGCGGTCCTCTGGTGTCAGCCCACCCTCTCAGTTGCACCTCGGAGAACCCTTTCGTTCCTTCTCTGAGGCGGCAGCCGCACATATTGACTGTTAAATAATTCAGCGTCTGTATATAGGCACGAAACAGGACGAGTCGCAAACGGCTGCAGGATAAGGTAGTCCTCACTTAGCAAGTATTGTGCTGGGCCTTCAGCTCTCTGTGCTTGTGCTGACTGAGCCCCTGGCTGCAGCTCGAGCAGGATTCCCCCCTGCTGCTGGTCTAGAGGAGAGGATACAGATACAGCGGCGCGAGAGACTGAACGTCTCTTCCACAGCATGCTGACTCATTGCCTCCTGGGGCAGCGGGGGTTAGGCGGGACCTTGGGGGACCTTGACCCAGTTCTTGTCCCAAGGCCTGGACTGCAGCTTTATCTAACGTCCAGAGAAAGTCAAAGGCTAAAGGGGGGTATACAGGGTTTTACTGCAATGTATTTACAGTACAGTAACTTGCATATCAGAGCCATCTGAGTGATTCAAATCCCAAAAAAGTGAAAAGGGAGGTCCTGTACATATTTGTTTCTTAATGTAGGGAGATGGAAACACAGTTTCTCTCGTATTTCGTTTTTTATTTTTAACCATTGACCTTTAAGTGACCATGTTTTGAGAGCAGTGCTACTCTGTTTTTAAAGCAGTGTTAACTTGCAGTCCTAAATGCTTCAAATGAGGAATGCTGATCTATACAAGGCACAAGACAAGGTCTTTACTTGTAAGCATTATGATTTAGCCTGCAATATAAGACGGTCAAGCACTGGAAAGGAGAGTTTGGTAAATATCAGCCAAATAACATTCATCTTAAACCTTTTCTAGATGGGCTTGAAAATTTCCCCGTGGGCTGTCTACAGCATTTCTGTCAAGTCTGTCATTATTATATTCAGACTCATGATTCTAGAAGGAACTTTGGAACATTCTCTCTAGAAACATGTTTACAAATACGGAAATGAATCCCCAGCCAGAATGTGAAGAGTGCGCTGTTTTGTTTTGATTCAGGAGATGCGTTTTAAAATTGTACAATGTCGCCCTTAAAGGTGGGTTTGACACCATGGAAACCATGCGAGTGGTGCAGGAGAAACAAAAATGGCTTTGTTTCAGAAGCAGAAAATGTATTTTAGAAACCCGCTAGCTCACCAAAAAATACATCTTTCTTTCAGGGCGTTTTTTTCTTAGTTCAGTTTAGCTTCCAACAAAAGTCCTTTTTATACTGTCTTTACATGTAAAATGTTAAGAAAGGTTCATTCAGGGAAAAACATGAAAGAGGAAAACAGCACAGGTACGTACTCACTGACTTTGATATTTGATTTTAAAAACAATATTTATTGTTACGAGTTGCCAACAAAATGGTGTAATACAGTACTTTTCAGATGGTGAGGTTTCGCTTTTAGGTATGCATGTTGGAAATCTCATCGACTCTGAGTTGTATGGCGATTGCAAAGGTGAGATGAGGGGATGAGGGGTGGGTGATTTACATGCCGTGCAATTTGAGTTAATGTTAAAATGTAGTTACAACACTTAACAAGCTTTGGATCACCAGTCTCGGAAAAACAAACATGCTGATAAATGCTTAGTTTTAGAAGTGTTACTGGTATTCAGCTTTAGTTTCTTAAGTGTGGATGCTTTTCAGCTTCAGTGAGTTTTTGGATATGATTTGGTGGCGATAATTAAGTTGTTCGTTCAGTGGCAGTCAGGGTGTTTCCGGTCACTCAAGACCCCAGGATGCTGGCTTTTTCTCCTGTTTCTTTCTCTGCCTGAGTGGGAACCCCAGTTTCTGCACACATCATCCATCATTCCAGCACTGTCCTGCACAATCTGGAGTGAAAGCACTCTGGATTAATGCTCTGGATGCAGGATATGCTAGCTTTTTTTTTTTTGCTGTTCTCTATTTCTGTGCCGCTGGGCATGAAAGCCAATTCAGGGTGAAAAATGATTGCTTAGCAGCCAAAGGAAGGCAGGTATGAGTGTTTTAAAAAAATCTAGTCCTATCCGGATAAATGCACCTGTCGCCACACAAGATAAAGTGGTTCAAAGCGCAGAAGGCTCTGCAGATGGAATTATGATGCCAGCTGGCAAATTACTTTTTCAGCTCAGTGTGCCCCTGTCCATGCGTAAAGAACTACAAATTGGTCAGCAGTCATGACGTTTGAGTCAGTCAACAGGATTTTGAGTGCATTTTTTAAAATAATAAATTTCAATTAAAATACAGACTGACAGTTTATTTTTCTTATGCTAAGCTTTTCTCATGCTACTGCCATTTTATTTCCATTTTCCTCTTATTTCAACCTAGTGGACCAATTGTATTTGAAGAAAGGAGGGAATTAAATGTTGGATACTTCTGGTTTAGTCTTCTTGTATCTTTTTTTGCAAAAGTTCATTAAAATGCCGGCTACCTCAATTGGTGTGTTCAACAGTCTAGCAGATTTTTTATATCATCATAATGCATTCTCAGCTACAAACCTGAGAAGGTGGTTTTAATTGACAAAATGAAGCCATAATTGATATGTTTTCACCCTCTCCCTAAGGTCTCAAGCTGTTTGATAAAATCCTACAAAACTCATTAGACTACAGCCCTTTTAAAAACCATCCTTAGTTGTCAGAAAAAATCTGCAGTCTGCCTCATATTTTCATGTTCTGAGCTGCAAACGTTATTTCTGTTTCTGTCATGGTTAGTACCATAGCACTGTAAATGGACATTTTTACGTTACAGCAAGGAAAATGCTCTCCTTCTTTGGATGGATTGCCGTTCTCTCTCCTCTTACATTCTCTGTTCCAGGCCAGTATCCTAAAATTTGGATATTAGCTTGCTCATGCAGAACTCATTTCTATGTTTGATATAAAAAGGACTCTATTGAAAGTCCATTGTGTGCTGAGATAATGAAAAGGGAAGAAATTGTATCATTTGGAAGCAGGTGTTACCCAGAGTTTTCAGGTCATTGTTGTCCAAATGTAGGCAATAGTTACATGGTCTTGTCTTGGAATTGCCTGCTGTTTCGTTGTCTTAACTGTAATTGTCAGCAATAAAAGGAGGCTATTTAGTCTATTTGGGAGTAAACATAGAATATTGATTACAATTAAGGAATGTCCTCAAAAGGACAACAGTGAAACCTGAATCAGAGCACACAATGAAAACTATGTGGAAGCGTATCTAGAAGCAGCACTTCTTCAGCCAAGAGGTTGTGGGAGAATAGAGAAGCTACCAACCATGTTGTTGAGGTGAATATGCTGGCTTTTTCAGGAAATGGTCGGTTGAGATCCTTCGATTAATTAACGAATAACTACCAAATGTGAAAGATGGGCCAAGCGGCTTCATCCTGTTTGTAACCTATCTGTTCTTATAGTCTAAAGGAGAATGAAAAATGTCCAATAATGAGTCATTAGGAGTTTAACAGGTCTCATTATAAAGCCTTGTGCACCTGAAATGAAGGAAAATAGGGAAATAGAAATACATACTGTACAAAACAAATTTGAAAATCTGAAATCTATCATCTGCAGAACAGGGAGACAGATTATTAAGAAATAACAAATTAAAAAGCATTAAAACTAACTGTCAAAGGACTGTCAGCAGAAATACCATGGGGTTTCTGATCAGTCGGTCCTCTTGAGATCTGTCATTACCATGTTCTACAGAGTGACTGATGTGGGAGTAAAATTGCCTTGCATGCTACAAAAATGCAAATCAGTTAAGACTATAATTTCATTCTTGCTTGCTGTTGGGGTGTTTTTTAAAAGCTTTTAAATATTTAACCCTGTTTAGATCTTTCTTCAGTGTGAACATAGGAATGGTTATAAAGGAGAGGAGGTCACATAGGAACGGTTACAAAGGAGAGGAGGTCATTTTAGCTGGTCTGGGGATCTTATCCCATTTCCTGAAAGAAGCTTCAGGAACATAGCTAGGATTTGATTCTTCACACTTGGTGGAAAATTAGCACAAAACAAGGCTAATTGTTGCCGTGCATAGTCTACTTCCAGCCTCAGTAGACAATTCAGTATGAAACAGCATGTTGTTGACCTGTCACTTCCTATTTGAAATCACCCGAGCATCAGCTCTGGTACAAACTTTACATAAGCTTTTGTAATCTACATCTTGTACAATTTAGATGAAACATAACTAAAAATAAATGAATAAAATTACAATTTTTGCATGATTGCCTTCTTGGTGGTAGTCCCAGTCCTAAATTATACTGTGGTCTGACATCTGCAGGCATTTTTCTTCCTCCCTCCTGTGTCCTTCATGTGTCTTCCCCATGCGTTAAAAAGCCATTGTGAAGCAGTCAGCTGTGCTAAGGAGAGATCATGGAAGGGTGACATCCCATTTCAGTACATACTGTAGGTTTCTTCAGTTCCCTAGCAACCCATGTCAAATGTGGCACTGTCAAAAACAGTGTCCCTCAGTCCAGTCCTTGAATTAATATAGTACTTCCTGATAGCAGTACTTGCACATCCATTTTTATATTTTTGCATACCGTAACATTTTAGAGGTTTCCTTTTTCCACAGGCTGTCAGGCTCCTCAACACCCTGGTACCTACAGTACTACACCTACTCCAAATCTGGAAACTTAGTTATTTTATGCCTAATGTCAGCATTACTGTCTGATGTATTCTTTGCACTATCCTGTAAAGTAAATTGCACTATGCACATTACACTTTATGTGCCCTGTACCCTGTCAGAAATGTCTACATTGTCTATGTCATTGTCTTGTCAGTGTCTTGTCTGTATTCGCACCGTAGACCTGGAGAACGATATCTCGCTCCTCTGTATACTTGTATATGGCTGGATTGACAAATAAACTTGAAATTAAATTACATCCCTATCAACCCTTTACAAATTGAATCAAGTTGGATTCAAAATGTATCTAATTATAATCCATAATACTGGACATAAGTGCACCTTTTAATCCTGTACAGTTTATACCCTGAGTTGAGATTATAATAAAAACTAAGCATTTCTTGATATTGTTTCCCATTCCCTACACATTACACATTCCCTAGACAAATTTTGAGCATTCTCTGACGAAGTAAGGGATTGGGATATTTTTTATTGCAGTGACCACCATTACAGAGTACTTTCACAGGAGCGTCATAAAAATGTGACAAATGAATAAGTGAATAAAAGCCAATAGAGTGCAAATGTGTCCTCAGTTCTGATTTGATAAAGGATAGAGTGTAGCAGCCTGTCTCACAGCTAATGATAAAGTCTTTGAATGGGGTGTAGTAAATCTGAGGCAGAATGCAATTCATTTTTTCCCTACTCGTCATAGGAGTGACAGATTAGAGATGTATGTGATAAGAATGAAGGACTTGGAAGCATCAGTAGTGGTCATGAACAGTGTTGTAGGTTTTTATTTTAAGTTTTGAAGTCCCAAATGTGGTCCATACTGTAGAGAACTGCATGCAGTTCACCAGTCAGAAGATGAAGACATGACTGAGAAAATCACCATGAGAAGATCATAAGAACAAATGAGAGGGAGCATTTGGTTCTAAAGTAACCAGTTGATCAAAGGATATCATCCAGCCATTTCTCGAAAGAAGCCTTGATATCTGCTTCAACAAAATGGCTGAGCAGCTTGTTCCATATGCCTTCGACCTCTTGTGCAAAGCAGTGCCTACATTTCAAAGTTTTAAATGCTTGTCTTCGATGTTTTCAGAAGAATTATAGACAGGAAAGAAGAAAATACATGTGTTCCTTTGGAGGTAGTAATGAAAAAATTCTCATTAGAGCTGTCATCTGAGGCGAAAGTTGAATTAGTTTCCTGCCAGTAGTATAGTTGGTTTTGAACCTTGAAAGGAAGGAGGCATTTCCTGAATCTGAAGTTGGCACATATAGTACAGTACTGGCATTCAGCTGAGTCTAGTTCCTGGTCAGGCGTTCTGCACTTATCCACGTTAATTTCCCTGTGCCTGTGTTAATGGGATATGAATAATCCATCCACTGCTTAGCAGTTTCATCCATTTGAGGTTTCGATCTAATATGAGATGTTGCTGTGCTGGGTGCTGCTAAGTGTGCAATCTTGTTTTGAGTACATTAGAAGTGTAAAGTTAATATATCCACATCAGCACAATGTGCAAAAGAAAATTGCACATTGGCTCAAACTGCAGTGCAGTGGGAATGGATTCTCCACAGTTGGTGTCTTTGCCTTACGTTTCTCCCTAGACTGAAATCCCTGGACACCTGTCAATGATGCTTTATTCTTCAGTTGAGTTTAGCTGCCTCGTTTTACTGTCGCTCCTGGTTTGCATGCATTTTATTTGAGGAAAAATAGAGCAACGTCTAAAGATTGTCTAGCACTCAAATTTGGAAGAGAGAGAATAGAAGAGAGAAGAGAGAATGGTTTCTTTAGCATGGCAGAGGTGGCTGCAAATAAGATGAAAACACACAAAACCTGTATAAATGCAGTAGCTTAAAATCTTGTGCCTTCAGGCTTATCCAATTTGTTTCACTTGTGCTGTTCTACTATGCTATTTTGTACATATTTGTGTTTTTAGGCTGTTGTGTTTAAAGATTACGATGCAGTATGCACTTTTTCTGCATGGTATACTTCAGAGGGACAGCCCTCCTTCTATAGGAAACTAGTACTTGACTGTCCACCAGTGGAGATGCTCTATTGTTCTCTCTCTGGTTGTCTCATAATTCCAAGCTCACACTGTATGAAAATGCCTCTTGAATCTTGGGTTTTGGATATGTTATTGATTGGGCAATGTTTTTTGGGGTTCCATAGACTAGAAAGAATCAAAATAGGCAGGGAGACAGCTTTCCTGCTTTTGAATTTCTTTTTCAGTTTCGGGAGGTTGTTCAGAATCCTTTGTAAGAAAAAAGTCCACACGCTTTGTACAAGTATCCCCTCGCTTACTTGCATAACTCATGTGGTTTGTCAAGTTGTACATAGTTGGTTGCCTGATTCTGGTTTGCTGTCGTTTGCCGTTTGGCACTGACTCTGTCCGTCTCTCTGCCCCTTCAGCACCTTCAGATGACCATCCAGGCGCTGCAGGACGAGCTGAGGATCCAGCGCGACCTTAACCAGCTCTTCCAGCAGGACAGCAGCAGCCGCCCCAGCGAGCCCCTGGCCTCCGAGCTGACCGAGGAGAACTTCCAGCGGCTGCACGGCGAGCACGAGCGGCAAGCCAAGGAGCTCTTCCTGCTGCGCAAGACCCTGGAGGAGATGGAGCTGCGCATCGACACGCAGAAGCAGACGCTCGGCGCCCGCGACGAGTCCATCAAGAAGCTGCTGGAGATGCTGCAGAGCAAGGGGCTGTCGGCCAAGGCCAGCGAAGAGGACCACGAGCGCACTCGCCGCCTGGCAGAGGCCGAGATGCATGTCCACCACCTGGAGAGCCTGCTGGAGCAGAAGGAGAAGGAGACCGCTGCCCTGCGCGAGGTGAGCCCCCTCCTTGTGGTGCTTGTGAGCTTCAACCACGTGCCTCTGAATGGTGTATCCCAAAACGTTGGCAAAATTACTTCCCTGTTTTGTAAACTTTAAACTTAGGAGCTTCAAAGTACCTTAAGATTTCCATAATACATAGACATGATGTATCAGTACATCATAGACATTATAATATAACAGCATACAGTGGAGGAGACCCTAGTATAATAGATGGTGTTGCATTGAGATAGATAGTGGTACCGCATAATGCTGAAGTCATGAACATTTTGGAAATTACTTCTGTATATTTTGGATGCTAGCTAGTGTCTGATTATTTTTGAAGTTGTTGGTTTTGTCCTTTTATCAATATGAGGTTCACCTGTTAACTTCATTTTATGTTGATGATTAAAGTGTAGCCAACACCTGAACTCTAAGGAAGTTGCCAAGGAAGAAAATTTATTTTGAAGTGTAATGTTTTATACCATTCATAAATTTAAAATTGGGACCAAAATTGGTTTTTAGATTTTATTTTCTTGATGTAAATTTATGTTTGCACTGTTAGCTTTAAGAGATTTTGCTGATTCTTGTGATTAGTTGGGATTTTTGCCATTATGCCCACTGTGATTGTGGGTTTCAGTTTTCAGATCTTTGGTTGTCTCTTGGTTATTCCTGTATACATTGTCTTTAAAGCACGTCTTCAATATAAAGAAAGTTACAAGGATTACGTTTTAAATAGCTAGTAGCGTGGAGTTGTGGTTAAAGCTCATAACCTGGTTCATAACCAGAAGATCGTTAGTTCAAATTCCAGGTGAGGCACTGAATCTTGAGCAAGGTGCTATAGGAAAATGCTCAGTTGTATTTATAAAATGAGCCAGGTGGGTTGAATGGGCTCATCTCAGTAATAACCTTTCTTATATTGGAACACTACAGTGGCCAAGACCTATTGTCCCCAATGTGTCCAGTTTAGCAGTCTGAATTCAGTCATCCTCAAACAGTGAATTCACAAAGTCATGTACAGTACACTGGCCAACTACTGTTCCTGTAGTTCCAATTGTTAAAGAAGAGGGGAGTGATGTGTGATGATAAAACTCTGTCCTGCCTTGAAGGCATTGTACTGTATTTTAAGAAGGTCAATGTTTTCACGCCAAGTTGTATTTGTTCTATTTTATCATTCCAAATCGGTATCCCCGAGTTCATACACTGATTGGCACTCGCATCTGTGAACTGAGATTTAGCAGCAGCATCACACAAAAGACTTTTCACACTCACTTTTCTCAGAAAAGAACATAAGTTCAGTGCTGCCTCAGAGATTTTCTGTCTTGTTTCTCTATTACATTTGCTTGCTGCTTTTTCCTTTTACAAATTTTAACACCATTCGGCCCCATGGCATCACTACATAAAACCTGATTCAGCAGTAAGTTGTTCTTATTATAGTTGTTCTTTATAGTTTTATAGTTTGAAATGGCACACATTTTGTGTTATATATGTCCTAAAACACATATACTGTAGCAATACATGAAATTGTACAAGGTGCATCATGGTGAACATCGTTTATAGCATCTGATCATTTTTATTTTGTAAAAGGTGGTTTCATTAGTTTCAGTCCTAATCAACCAGTTATTTATATAGTACAAGACAATAGACTACTCACAAGTACAAGACCACTCACACAGCCCAGTTCAGCATCAATCCTGCTTAAGGATGAACCAAAAGATGTTGCCTTGAGTGCCCAGTAGAAGGTCAGGGTGACAAGCTTATTTCACTCTAAACCCTGTGGCAAAATGACTGATATTGTACAACACTAAAGTCAAACCTTTAGCATTTACAAAAAATATTTCACAGGAAGCTGAAAATGTTTTTGTCAAATAAGGGTTATATCAAAAAGTAACCATCAGAAAAGGTTATTTTTATTTTTTTTTTTAATTATTAATTAATAATCTCTGCAGCACACACAGATATAAGGCCTGAGCTGGCATGTTCTATAAGAGACCTTCCTGTCAGAAATGTTTGTCAGACATGCTGCATTCTCGGCCTTGCTGAAGGTATCACTGAATGGAGGAGTGGTGCGTTTCTCACTCATGTTACCTCTAGCTGGCACGTGCTGGGTGGTTCACAGGAAGTGATGTCGTGCATCTTGAGGAAAGCCCATCTGGTTATAGCCCATTCTACCTGAGCAGCACCAGGCCAATCATAGGCTATAGGTGATTAATGACTTATGTGAGGCTTGAACCAGTTTTGTCTGCACTATAAGGCTTAACTTGCTCTTCATGTGCACGCCCCTCTCTTTTGGCAGAGTCCCCGAAAAGAACTATATTATTACCAAAATCGTAATAGTAACAGCATGTTAAAGGGATAGCGTGATTGGTGAAAATGGTATGCAATAATGCTTGTATCATTGAATGTTATACTATTTATATGACAGTGATCAAATATAATAATAATACCAATGAGAAACATATCTCAATATATAATATTGTCAGACCACTCAATTTCATGCGCTGCATACTGCATGCTTGGCCCTGTTTTTATCAGTCACACACCAGGCTCTTATAATAAAAACCTGCACTGTGCTAGTTTAAATCCCTGAGTACAAGCATACTGTACACACATGCACCTTCTTGCTATACTCTGAAAATAAACTTCTTAAGTGTCAAAGGAAGCCACGATTACCCTTCATGAAGGATTTACAATTAGTAAATAAGCAGACAACACAAAAGTGAACAGGTACCATTATTGTGAGCAGCAGAGTGATTTCTCAGGCAGTAATGGATGGATTGTGTGTGGTTGCTATAGAAACAGCCCAGACAGCAGAGAGGCTTTTGATAAACTGCGCCTCAGCTCCTACAGAAGCACCAGATGTAAGATTATTTGAACAGCTTTGATTAATATAGTGCTGCTGAAAAGTTTTAAGTCCTGTGGCTTTACAGGGAAAAAAGGCTGTGACCTGGTAATGCTTAGAAAAATCTGTAAGATCATCAACATAGCACCATTTCAAAATCCTGTGTATATTTGACTGAATGCTATTAGAGTTGGGATGCTCAAAACTTATTTTGATACAGTTCAAGTCATTTCAACCATGGTACTGTTTTTACAATTCCTTTAAGATTTAGAAAACTGTCGCCTAAAAGACTTTATGCAAAATTTGGGTTAATGTAATGTATTACACAACTGCTTGTTTGTAGGAGTTATAGTTTTGTTGAATTGTTTTTTGTTTGGAATCTCTTGCAAAGCTCAGTCTATCTTAGCCATTTACTGTACATTAATGGTTGTGACCCATGTGGCACATCACATCATATATACTTTAGCCTGGCAGGATTGAGTCTGAAATCCTCCAGGGAATATAATGAGAAGTGTGGCAAAGTAAAAAGCATTGAGACCTGTTGTAGAAGAGGTGATTGTTATTTTTTCTGTATGCGGTGCAGCGGTTCTGAAGGCGGTGAGAGTACACATCAGTTAACGGCTTTGCTCTGTATTCCTCTCAGGTGCCAGACAGTCATTAACTGTTATTAGCTGGGTTGAGTGCCACCTAGTGATGTAACTTAAACATGCTAAACCAGAGATGGTTTTAATCTTCAGATCGTTGTTATGTAATATAAGCATCACAATCAAATAAAAATATCACTGTATTTATGTAGGGGTGTTTTGGAGAAAAAATACATTTTTTAGATCCTGGGTATTAATTGTTTTTGGCATCATTTTGATTAATTGATCATTTGTGACTCACCATAACACGGTGACTTTGACCGTTGTATAAGCTCCAAATCAGTAATGGGAGAGTTGATTAGGCACAAGTGAAGCCTGGTGAAAATCATGAAAGAAAATAAAAAAAGAACCCCCCACTTCTTAAGAGGACAAAGGCTTTGTGCTGTTGATATTTTGGAGCAATACTTCCGATGGATTCACTTGCAGTGGAGCCAAGTCCTTTTCAACAGTTAATCAAGGTTTGGTGATGTACTTGTGGACGTCGGTGAATGTGATACAGACAGACTTCAGTGCTTCAGACCGATCGATAGGGGGGCTCCCAGTGTGATGATCTGGGCAGGTGTATCTAGTTTCTACAGACCTTCACTTGTATATCACTCCATCAACAAAAACTAAAGATAAAAACCTTAAATATTTAGACACATGAACACAGTATTTGGTGGAAACAAATATTGGTTGCAGCAATTACAAACACCAATAAGTCTTCTTGGGTAAGAGTCTACTAACTTTGCATATTGGCTTAATGCAATTGTTTCCCATACTACTTGGCAGATTTGCTCAAGTTCTTCTGTTTTGGGGATTATTGATACAACTACAGTCATTTTCAGACCTTTCAAAGATTAAGGAGCTACACTGATCAAGTTCTGGGACCTCACCTGCTGCCCTTCCTGGGGGATCATCCGAACTTGACGCGATTCCAGCAGGAAACGGCACACATTTTTACGCTGCCCATATAACAACGGCTTTCTTGTGAGATGAGGGGATAACAGTAGTGATGTTACAATATGGCGGTACAAATTTGTGGAATGACCTGGGGTTGACTAAGCAAGTAGGGTTTAAAACCAGTAATCAGATACATACTTGACAAAGCTCTATGGGAGACGTGGGACAAAAAAAAGAGAGCATCTGCAACCTGGAGCAGAGCGTGCGTCACAGATGTACAGCTTGTATGGCTTCCAGTGGTGGCCACACACTGCTAGCCTGTAACTTCCACAGTAGACGGCCTGCTGATCAGCCCTGTTGATGACAAATGTTTGTCAACATAATTAATTTATCTAGGTCGTGTCAGGTAAAGAAAATGTCAGTGTGCCTGCTACAAAAAAGATAGTTTTCCTGGTAACGTTGGGAACATATTACCGTTTTAATTTATTTTAATGCTCAGTATGTCTATTTTTATACTGAAATAATTAATCTTTAGATGGGTGCATCATTTAAAACGCACTTTATGGTACCACCAAGATGGTCTTACTGCCATACAGTTCAGAGGAAGTGTCTTGAAATAGAAAAGAGAAGGTTTTTTTGCTCTAAATTTG